GGGGGTGGGGTGGGGGGGGGGGCGGGGGGGGCGGCGGGCATGTCCGTAATGTTCTCTTTCTCCGTTGCTAACTGTCTGTAATGGGGTGAGGGGAGGGGGAGCCGCCAAACCTTGAACTGAAAAATTACACTCACTATTTTCTTAGAAAATATACATGAGTTCCACAAAACAGACTTTTGGGAGCAATCAATTTTCAATATCATTCTTGTTCGTGGTTCTCGGAAGACACTAGTTACTCTGTTATGAATAAGGGTGTCAATTTATATTTACTTTCCATTTAATTTACGCGTAAATTAAATGATAAATAATTTATATTTATTATAAAGTAAACGGTAAATGACACCCCTACTATTTGATAAGTTTTGTTTTTTTGCATGTTATAGAGGTTTCATGTAATTTCTATAAGATATTTTGATACGCATGGAATCTGCCTCTTGAAGTCCTGTGAAGTCTTATGAAGTCTTATGAAGTCTTTTGAAGTTTTGTGAAGTCTTATGAAGTTTTGTGAAGTCTTGTGAAGTTTTATAAAGTCTTGTGAAGTCTTATGAAGTCTGCTGAAGTCTTATAAAGTCTCAAGAAGTCCTACAAAGTCTCTGAAGTCTCATGAAATCCGTGAAGTCTCATGAAATCCATGAAGTCGCATAAAAGTCCCTGAAGTCTCACGAAGTCTGTGAAGTCTAACGAAGTCTTTGAAAGTTTTTTGAAGTCCCATGAAGTCCCATGAAGTCATACGAAGTCTTATGAAGTCTTGCGAAGTCATTTGAAGTCCTATGAAGTCTTCAGAAGTCTTTAGAAGTCTTGTGAAAAGATGAAGTCACAGCGGGTGAAGTCTGTTGAAGTCTGTTGAAGTCTTTTGAAGTCTTGAAGTCTTGAAGTCCGCTGTTTCCCCCTTGGGTGTAGGTGTGGGTGTGGGTGTTGTTCTACATAGGCTATGATGACGAGAACACACCCACGCCCACACCCTTCGCTGAAATGTCTTTTCGCATGTTTATTTTCGCTATTTTCTACACTCGCTAATTTTGTGTTTCGTTATTCTGATTTTTCGCTTCTATGCGCCTTCACTGAAACGCACTTCCGCTATTGTGCATTTCGCGGATTTTTTCGCCGAAAAGTCTTTCGCTTAAATGTTTTTCGCTGAATAGATATCATATCCAAAAAACACTACTATTTTTGCTATTGCTAGTCGAAATAATGCGATCGACATCGGTGAGAAAAATAGTTGCACTTCGAACTCAACAGCCACATGATTGGTTAATTGTTATGTTTATGCTTTGATTAGCACTTAAAAACTCAATTCATAATTCAATTTTGGAAGAAAATGGTTCATATTAAGATTTGTTTCAGCTTGTTCAGCTAAAAATGTCTCACACATCCGTAAGCTAAGGCTTTCGTAAAGCATATATTAGGTTCTGGCATACAATTGGCCAATAAACATTCTTTTTTGGTTTATCGTAGACTGTTTTCGACCATGTTACATCTAACTTGATGTGAGAGATCGGAAAAGAGAGCCATCGTACTTGCTGAAAACGGGTAGGCTTTCCATTTATTCACTCGATAGATTTTGATGATGTATCTTCTGAAAGAAATCGACATCTGCATGTTAAATTTCACGCAATTACTCGATTGAATGGCCAACTGTGGATCATGAACCAATCAAGATTCTATGGAGACCGAGTACCTTTGAAAAATAAGCAGTACAATTTATTTTTTATGAAAAGTGAAAAGAATGCAATTAAAAGACAGCTTGAAATAATTGTCATATGGATGCTACTGCCAATTCAGGACGTCTTGGGTGGTATTAAACCAAACTGATATATTAGTTACAGTTCGACTGTGACTTCGAAGTCGGTTTTTGCTTTGCGTTTGTTTGCTTCGATTGCGTATTGTTCTGCGACCTATGGTTTGAACTAGAAGCAATCTGGGCAGGACGTTGCTTTTTGCGACTGGTGCTATTATTACTAGTCTCTGTTGCTGATGAAGGCCTCACGAATTGTGTGAGTACATATCCTGTAGTAGATTCTTTCTTAGAATCTTTCTTTTGAGAGACACCTGTTTTTCCACTTGGAGGCAATGTGCCACGAGACGACGGTTGAGGTGAAGAAAGTGATTTCGATTCCTTTTCTGTCATTGGGTTCGCTGCTGATTCCTCCGCCGGCGATGAAGTAATGACAATATCCGAAGGGAATTGAGCTATGGACAACGGATTATCCAAAATAGACGACTCTGATTGCCACAGTTGTCCTTCATAAGTGATCCACTTGCTCAAACAGCTAATAAAGTCGTAGGCATAGAGATGTTTCACCCATTTGGGAGGTAGATTTTTGAAGCCGTAGAGAGCGCCAGCCAATTGACCATAAATAGCGGCAGTGGTGTCCGTATCGTCACCAAGATTGACAGCATTGGCAGCACCTGTTTCGAAAGAGTCATTGTCGGACCAAAGCACCCACAAGGCGGCTTCAAGAGCGTTAACAATATATCCTTTGCCTCGAATACCGGCATCATACCCTTTATCTCTTTTGTACGAACCTTCGGCGATTCTCTCTATCTCTGGACTAAGCGACTCGTTGCTGAACCATGATTCATGCTTTGAGTAAAATTTGTCATCTAGTAATTGTTTTTTTGTTTCTTTTCGAAGAGCAGCCACGATTAGGGCACCGTAATACCGGCAAGCATCATATGCTTTGCGATCGCCATGAGTAATAACACCACTAATACCAGAAAACTTGACGGCTTGAATAGGATCTTTGTGGAAGAAGAGAGGCACAGGCGCCAATCGCATTAGGGCTCCATTACCTGCTACTCCATCCCCACTGCAATTCACATCAAATTGATCTAGCAGATGAGGGTCTGGAAGATGGTCTAAATGCTCAAGACGAATTTGATGTTGGGCGGCAAATTGTCGTTGGCGACGTTCGAATTCGCGCAACGACTGTTTAGTGGCTGCACCGATATCGAAGCATTGCCCAGTAGAGGACATGTAGCCATATTTGTACCACCATTTGTAGCGAACTAGTTGATCGTAAGGAATAAAATCACGATAAATCACCAATGAACTTGCCAAACAAAGAGCCATGGAGGTGTCGTCCGTGAACTAAACACATATTTATTAGAAACGATTCGATCATTCTTTCCCAGTACTTATTGAATGCATACTGCTTGTGAAACTTAAGTCAAAAAGTAAGCGTAAACAAAAGTACTGCTTTCTACATTGCTTAATTCCACTCTCAAATACTGCTCAACTAAATTCACCCTTAGAAGTAGGATAAAAATAAAACAAAATCACAATCAAAGATGCGTAAGCATCCATCAGTCATGTTTTTAGGCGATATGGAAATGTGGATGCTATTTAAGGACATGAGTTTGAATATCTATACGGATACTCACATCCATTTGCTTGCGGTTTATTTTATGTGTACTTTATTTGAGCTAAGATACATTTGTTATTAATATAATAGATTATCGTAGTTCTTTTTTTTATGTTTTGAATCAGCCATTATACACGAAAGGAGTTTTAATGTTTGAAACAAATTCTTAAATACGTATATTGATTATGAAGTGACTGACGAATGTACTATCTGTTTGGCTTAATTGAAAATTAAAAGCATTGCTTTTGTCAGCGTTTATGTCCAGTTGTGCTGTTCGGCAGGCTGAAGATTAACTGCAAGACAGAACAGAAAAACTTGTCCTGTTCTCACATTTGATTGACAACACTCCTAGTAGAGACACTCATCGGTACAATGAAATGTAAATATCAAATCATTAGAAACGTTGAAGATTCACATTTCATCCCGATATTATAGACACTCTGACAAGAATCTCTAGTTGAATAGGTTCAGGAAAGGTGTGGGTGAGTGTCGATGTGCATTGTCTGCTCCAGCACATCCCATTCATATCGACATCCACGCTCAAATCGCATACCGACTTTCACAGTCATAGCAACAGTAACATCCACTTTCGTGCTTCAGATTACATTCTCGCAGAGATGACAGTCAAAGAATTTTTTGAATAAAGAGAAGGTATTTTACCTGTCCTTTTTTCAGACCCCATGTCCCACCACCTACTAGGTCTCGCACTGGATGCTCCTTAAGATATTGTCGAGGCCGGAATTCGACATGAGCACCGAGTGCATCACCCAAGGCCATACCAACCATAGACCCTTGAACATGATCTAATATATCATCGTCGACATCTGGTGGATCCGTCATTATATTTTGTAGGTCTTCCGGAGTGAAAATCGATTCTTCATCGTCATCGTGATACTGAAGATCGAGCCAAGGTTTTTCTGAAAACAAATCAATGCTTCCTTTCGAGAAAGTGGATGTGTATATATGACTGACGGTAAGTGTCTTCTTTGAAAGGTCCACGAGAAATGAAATTTATCCCCTTTTTTTCTTTTATGTCTCTCAAGCCACTATCACTTTCATATTTTTCACCCTTTAATAGTCTTTTTAGTTCATTCATAGACTTAGGACGGCTTCTGATAAAAAAAAAAGTTTTTTTATTAAAAGTTTTTGAAAGCGAATGATTTTGTTCTGGATCAAAAGCACATCGCTCACAACACAAAAATGAAATAAAAACCAGTAAATAACTTAGATTTGTATGAATGTGCTTATAGGGTGTGGCAAAGAGTGTGGGCGTCAGTGTGAGAATGCAATTTTTCTTCTCCGTTGATCCCATCCCAACATCTACATCCTCCAATGAGCTTCATTTAATAATGAGATCACATAGAAAAAAGGGTGTAAACTGTCGTCCAGCTGCGGTAGTTGTAGCTTTTGTGGAAGCTTTCTGAAGTCAACAACCGGCCGTTGCTGTCGTATAAGACAAACTCGAAAAGAAAATAAATTTGGAGATGTCGGTAGCTTGACTGCGAATTATTTTTTCAAATTAGGTTGAGAGGCATCAAAATGGTGTGCGCATCAAGAACCTTAACGTTATATTCCATTTCGATTGACGGGATGTGCTCCGAAAAATATATAATTCAAAATAGAAATGGTCTTACTCTGTGGTGGCGCTCGTAGCATTTTCGTAGCTGCTTGAATTGTACTTGTATTAGAGTGTTGGCCAGTTGGAGGTTTCTCAACCGTCGACGATGTGGTACCAATGAGAAAAGTTATAAGAGGATTTTTACCAGTTTCTTGCAAATAAACCACATATAGCCCTTCTTTCATTTTATTCTTGTTCTTAACAAGTAAACGTGTACCAGGCATAAGAAGAACTTCATCCTCATATTGAGAGTCCGAAAAATTGCTAATACTTCTCCCATTAATACATTCAATCTCGAATATAGTTCGCTCGGAAGATCCACCAAGAGAAGTTTTCAGTAAGTCTTTGGACTTTGTGCAAGAACTAAAACCCCACCAGACACATTCTTTCTGATATTGGTCACTGATGTTGCCTCGAGAACCACGAAAGATTGTGCCTCTGACTGATGGCAATTTCCATAGGGCAGAAAGAAAGAGCTTGATATAGGAAAACCAAGGGTTCACTTGGTCTTGATCTCCCGAGCGAAGTGCTTGATTCAATTGAATGGAAACACTTGTATCAGATTTCCCTGATTTGGTTGTATACAGATAAATAGCAGCTGCTTCATCTTTGGTAAGATTGACCGACTGATCAAAAGGCTTTTTCTTTGCCATCTTCACCAATTTATTAAGATTGTCTACCAAACGTTTTAAAGCTTGGGTAGCCTCTTCAAATGATACTAATGGCTGTTTTTCATACTTTTCGAAAGATATTGATTTTGCTAAAGATTCTTCATCAGCATCAAGAAAGCGTCCACTTGTAACGTTAGTTGCCATAGGGTCGTTTTATCTAAACCGAAGGAAAACGACTATACTTTGATTACCTTTTTCTCTTCCAAATAATGTTTGTTTCTTGTGTTTTTATTGTGGCGTCGAAGGAAGGATGAAAGAGAAAGAGTAATAATGCACGTGGATGAAAGAAAACTAAATAATAACAGTTAACTGCGTCGTTTTCGCGGAGAAATATTGAAGTTCAGTGACGAGAAATTGTGTTTTTTTTCTATCAGGTGTGTTATTTTTCATGCTAATTGCGCCATAGTTTCGAGCTCTTTCGACTCGAAGAATTGCAAAACATCATTTGAGTTTTTTCTCATTTTTGAATTCGCACAACAAATGCAGACAGTCTCCGAAGACATAAATGTCTCCACTTTACTTTCTTCGTATGATAACGCCTAGTCTGCGTTTCTGCAAGTAATAATTGTGAGTCATTCAGTATATATTGACAAACATAAAACACAGAACAAAACATTGAAGAGAAAGCAACCAACACAAGCACGCACATCATTAAAAGAATTGTTTCTTTCTTCTTATCGCATTTTCATACACCATATTTTGTGAGTTATTTCCTACTAACATTAAGTCTACTGAAATTATTTATTTAGTTTCATCCCTTATGAGACTACATTACTCATCAGCAAGTGAATGCATAGTTGATATTAAAATCTAAGGTACGCCGAATGAATATCATTAGAGGAGCAAAACCCACGCCAATTACAACGAGTTTTGCCACTTAAAAAAAAGAACACGTGTATGCATCAAGCAGTATGCTTATATTCATAAATTTCTCGATCCAAACATATCTCGCACCATGAAAAAAAACATGAAGAACTGTAGAAAGGACATAGATGTTCGTTGTTTAAAACCCTTCACAAACATGTTTGTCAGATCTTGATTGAAGTGTATCTTTTTCGAGCATCACTAATGTCGCCATTCAATCGATTGGATCACAACTAAACAATAATAGAATCCAGCAACTCTGTTCAACTCTATTCATCGCGTATGGGTGCAGATATGAATGAAGAAAAGGCTCACACCCACACCTCACCCATGATGTTGTGTTGGACATAAGGACAACAGTCAATTCTGCATCCAAAGAATAAAGTTTGTCCCGGTGAAACCAGTCGAACGAGGAATGACTCATGCAGCGGATTGGCTTCTATTCGTAGGATGTCTTGCACATTATTTTCTTCGCGTTCTTAAGGCACTACGGTTTGAACAGTTTCAAAACAGTAACTAATTTCTTCTAGAAGCTCATTCGATGTGAAGTTGTGGCTGGATGTGGAGAGATGAGATGGTAGATGGATGGGTGGGTGATTGTGTGAGTAGCTTTGTGACTGATTTTGCATAGGATGAGCTGTCGCATGTGAGTCTATATATTTGTACAGCACAGATTCAAACTCATATGCATTCTTACTGGCACAGCTAGATTCGCAACCACATCCATCCAGTGACACTACAGTCCAGTACAATTATACCTTTACTGACACTCAGACCCGTATTCATTTACGCACGTTAAGCAATTTTAAACAAACTACTGTAGAAAGATCGTTCATACAATGGAAGATAATCTTCAAATTAAGATGGCTTTGGTATCAAATGCAATTTAAAATTTAAATAAAGTTATGTCAATCAAGAGAGAGTGTTGTACAATGGTAGATGATGATGAAAAAATCTTTCGGATTTAAAGAATTCATAGATAGTTTGGCTTGTTTTGTCCTGAACGAGAAAAAAAAAGAAGTTTTTTAATGAGAGAAGTATGAAATTATGAATTGCTTAACGAGAAGACTGTGCTCTGTGTGTAAGTGTGGCGGAGCGAACGTTTAGTAAACTAACGAGACTTGTAATTGGTGGTGATGGCATTAAACAATAAAGCAGCTTCTTTCTCCGTTTGCTATTAGGATGAAAACAATCTTTTTTTCTGTGAATGTAAGATTCATGCATCTGTGATGTGCTTTTAATTGCTTTTTTTCGAGGTTGATAAGTGTTTGTTTTCTTTTGTTACTGTTAGTTACTTTCTCCTGAATAAACATTCAACAACACTGCTGCCAAAATTGACTGAGACTCTTGAAATGGAGCATCACGTATCGCTTCGATCAGTTCCAAACGGACTATATAGGCCAATACCTAAGAATACAAGAGCATCTCCTGGGGATGAGTGTGGGATACGGATGTAAGTTCATCAGCTACACACTCTCTCGCACACACACTCCGACCAACATTCAAAACTGCACCCACATCCATGCCCACACTCAAACGTACCACTACTGTCTGTTGAAAAATATGACCGTAGCCATTTTTTGAATAATGTAAGAATGGAAGCAGCTAACGACCTGCGGTTTTCATCTTTTTGTAGGCCAATGATTATTCTATTGATTCATATATAAAGCTTTGGAAAAATCGGAGTTTCAGACTGTTTGCTCCATAAATTTTGAAAAGGTTCGAACCCCACTTTTGCAAGTTCTATAGTGATCTCTATACTTAAAGTAACTAAAATATAGCCTAGAGTGTTCTGAACAAGCCTAAGAAAGGTCATCCTCGATATTTCTCATGATTCTTGTTTTCCTGAAATTTGTGCTGGTGACTATCTTTCATTGCTACTCATTTCTAAGAATGCATGGAATCATAGATACCTATGTTTCCATACATTCTTAGAAATGAGTGACAATGAAGGATAGTTGCCAACACAAGTTTCGGAAAAATGAAGACTATTTGAGCAACATAAGAGATATCGACATTGACCTTTCGTAGGCTTGTTGAGGACACTCTCGGCTACATTTTAGTTACTTTAAACATAGAGATCACTATAGAACTTGAGACAATGAGATTTGTTTTTGTGTGCGTTTTATGAAAAGTGTGGTATTGTCCCGAAATTCGGAAAAAAAATCCGGAAGAAAAAATCCTGATGAAAAAATCCGGAAAAAAATCCGGAAAAGATAAAATCGGGAAAAATTCTGTAAAAAGATTCAACAGTTTATTTAACAAAGAAACATGTACAATAAAGAAGAGAAATCATTTGATTTGAGGGTGTGGGTGTGGGTGTGGGTGGGGTGTGGGTGTGGGTGGGCGTGGGTGTGGGTGTGGATGTGTGGTGGTGTGGGTGTGGGTGTTCACGTTCTTCTCATCAACACCCACCCCACACCCACACCCATCCACACCCACATCCACACCCACATCCACACCCACCGACACCCACACCCATCCACACCCACCGACACCCACACCCATCCACACCCACCCACACCCAAAATAAGAAGACCAGATAGTTCAGTGTTGTAGAAGTGGGATTGATGTGAAATATGAATAATAGAGAGGAACGACAGTGTATTTATACATGCGCGCTAAGTTAACGATCAGCGGTGTGCTCAGCGCCATCGCACGTCTGTCTATACATAATAATAGAAGCGCAGAGCACAATGAAGTAGAATGATACGCGGTGGACGATGATCATGGTTGACGTAGACAACCATAAACATTTATGAAAGAGTATNTGAAGTTGCCCTTTTTGAAAGAGAAGGATTTCCTGTGAGAAAAAGGAAATTTCAGATTTCTAAATTTGAAGCTTATTTTAGCGGTTTTCGACAAATTTATTAAAAAGTTATAAACACGTACTTTGTATAACAGATCTTTTTTTACATAACCTTACGTGCCCTGATGTCCTCTATCCAACGGTGAAAATCTCAGGTCTCTATCATTTTCCTTTCAAAAGTTATAAGAATTCTGCCCAAGCGACTTATTTTCAGAAATGGATAATAGAATGAAAATATCATGTTTTTGTTAATCATGTATTCATAATTTTTTTTAGTGTAAAGTTATAGTATGGGTGTGTGTGTCTTGCTCCGCACCCAGTCACACATCCTCAAGATAATGCCTGATTTCATTGAATATATACTGAAATATGACAGTTGGATTCATCCGTGATTCCGTCATTTGAAATCCTATCGAATTTCGTCGAACGATTGAATCTCTCACGCAGACGTACAGAATCTACTTGAATGCGTCAACGTGCATTGAGGAAGTGTTTCGATTTTGGCGAAAATTTGATTAGTTATTTAACTGTAAGCAAATATTTTCATTTAGGAATTTGAGTAAAGAAATATATCTCATGTAAGAATAAGACAATAAACATCGTACACAACTTTTGTGATTGATTTATTAATAGAAAATATCGGAAGAGCTTGTTCGTTTATTTAATTATACAATCCATTACTTTTTTGAATGAAAACTACTTTTATTAATTGGTTCATTTTTGATACAATTCTCTTTTATGTTAAATAAATCGAATTTTTTTTTCTCTTTCTTCGAATGTGTGCAAACGACAAAGAGAGAGCTTCAAATATGTTAGTATAGCTATGATTTTATATGATTCGATTATCAACATGAAAATCTATTTTCTTTCTATACATATTCTTTTTAATAAGTTTGTTTTTATTCAAAAAACTAATCAAAACATATTCGACATTCTAAAAGTTTACATTGAATATTTCTATTGAGTTGTTTATTTAATGGCTTATATAATCATATTAAAATAATAAATATTGCGTGAATACTATGCGATCGAATGCGACTCGTTTATTTGATTTGTGTTTGTAAGGTAGAGTGAGATTAATTTCGTTGACTTTTTGCTAATGCTTTACAACAAACTAATATTCCCACCCGAAGTGTTTTGAATTGGATTTGTAAATGAATCAGTTCGAGAAAAGTAAAAATAAATAGTTGCTAGATTTTTTTCTTCTTGAAATAGATCCTAATATTAGTTCTCTTTTACTATGCTCTTAGCACGTTACTAATGTTAAGTATAAATGAAAAAGTATTTCTCATATTCTAGTTTGTCCTATCCATTGGTCGTCATCACCTCTCTTATTTAATCGATATAAACTATATCAAAACTTTTCTAGGTGCTTGAGGTTTTGTCGTGACCATATAAGTTCCACAAGACGGTAATTCAAGTATACAGACTAAAACATTCGTTAGCGACACGACTACGAGAAACTCAAATG